GCTTTGGTTCCGTCGTCGCTTCCTTGGTGGTATTGCATGCGCGAAGCTTTGGTCGATTTTCCTATTTTCTCCCATCGCAACTCTTTTCTGCAACCTACACATCGGTACTCTGAACTGATCTTTCTGCGCTTGTGCCCTTGCTGCCGCTCTTGCTCCCCTCTTCGTCTGGGAAGTGATGGTCCATCTCCCAAGGTCCAAGTGGGATCATGTCCTGGCTCGGGTTGGCGTACCTCATGATGTTGATCGACCCCATGTCCCAATGATGTTATGGTAGATGTCGATGTGGCGGGGACAGCTCTCGAGCAGCCGGTACCTCAGCCTGTGCCCAGCTTTCAACAAGATGTGGGCTGGTATGGTTTGGCTGGCAATGGAGGCGTTCATTATCTTCTGCGCTTTCAGCTTCTGGTTGTCCACCGTCAGCCAGAACATCTTGTTGACGGCGGTGGCTCGTGGGAATACCTCTAGCGCCTGCATCGTTGAGCGACTCGCATAACTGATCTCTTCTTCCACTTGTATGCTCGTCTTGGTCCCTCCCATGGGCCCCTTGTGTGCAGTTCTTGTATTGTACTGCGTCGGTGTGCTAGATATGTCCTGCTGAAGCCGAAGCTGCAGCTAATAAGGACGCGAATTTTCATGCGTCGGGTTCCTGATGGGGCCCTTTCGGTTGTGCCCTCTTTTTGAGCCACTCGAAGCCTTGTCGGTGGCTGTAGCTCAGCTATCTGATTGGCATTGCATCCCTCTTGCTCCTCCTCGTCCGAGTTGACGAGGAGGGGGAGAAGGAGGAGGAGAAAGGGCTGGAGGAGGAGATCGAAGGTCGAGGGGAAGGATCGAATTTCGAGGGTCGACGAGGAAAGAGGATGGAAGGAAGGAGAGAGGAGGATCCTCTTCTCCCCCCCTGCTTCCACCTCTTCGTCGCTGTCGCCTTCCTCGTCCTCCTCTTCCTTGGGCCTGGCCTTCACCGCGGGCGGGCCCTGCACGAGATCGAGCCCGAAGGTGGCGTCGCTGTGCTCCTTCGGCGAGGCGAGCGGGGGGGGAAGAGCGGACGAGGGCAGGCAGGGCGGGAGGAGGAGGAGGGGGAGGAGGGGGAGGAGGAGGAGGAGGAGGAGGAGGAGGAGGAGGAGGAGGAGGAGGAGGAGGAGGAGGAGGAAGAGGAGGAGGAGGAAGAGGAACAGGAGGAGGAGAAGGCGGAGGAGGAGAGGAGAAGCTGTCCGTTGAGCTATCCATGCGTGCCTGTACCCCGCGGGGCGCCGGCTACCCCGCGCCGTGTGCCAACACCCCGCAGGGCCTATAGGCCATCGGCACCGGGGTGGGGGCGCTGTCCCTCAGGACTTGGCCTTGCGGGGGAGGCAGCATCCTGGCGGAGAAGAGGAGGGAGGGCCGGATGGGGAGGAAAGGGGAGGAGGAGGGATGACGAGGAGGGAGCAAGAGAAATATGGCTATGAGCATGGGTCGAAGGAGGATTCAGAAGACCCCAGCCCTCTCCCTGCCGCGCATGTGCACATACCACTCCTGGGCGTGCCAGGTCTGCACTCGGACAAAGAGCAGCGGACACCGCTCCCACACCAGCCCTCCTTGCGGCAAGTGGCCCACAGCTGTCTCCTGATCTCCTCCCTGCAGTCCTTGAAAGCCAAGGGGTGAAGATCTTAGGTAGAGGTTCTCAGAATAGCTGCGGGCGTTGTTGCCCGGCTTGGAGATCGACATTCTATACGTAGTCGACGCCAGTTCTGCTACGTTTTGAGGTCCAGGATCGGCCCGTGGCCCACCTGCCCGATTCCTTCCCGTTCTCGTTGCGTTTCTGAATGCGCAACTCGACCGCATAATGCCGCCTGTCTGACGACCGCTTTCTGAGGTGCAAGTGTTCACACGTCTGGTCGTGTCGAAAGCGAGAAGTGGAAATCGAAAAACCACGCCCCCCCGCGCTGTTAAGAACGGCGGCGGTGGAGATACCCCCCCTCCCCGTTTACGTAGCCGCTTCAGCTGACCGCTGGCGTTCAAACGCTCGCTCCCCTCGAAGGCGCTGCCATCCGACCACTCCTATGGCGTGGGTTTAGGCTTGCGCGCAGACACCGGCTGGCCCCAGCTGGCCCCCGAGTGATCCGAGGCGGTCTCGACACCCCAGCCCAGCCCTTGGGCACGGAGAGGCCCATGGGCGGTGCCGGAGGCGGCGCCATGGTTCATAGATACCGCCTCAGACCACTCGGGCCGCCAATGGAGGCCAGCTCGAACTGCCTGGGGGTCGCTGTCCGTGCGCAGCCCTAATCCTCATCACCCGACCCTCTCCCTCCCTCCTCCTACCACTCTCACCTCCTCTCCTCCCCTCCCTCTCCCTCTCCTCTCCTCTCCTCCTCCTCTCCCTCCCCTCCCTCCCTCCTCTCCGCCTCAGACCACTCGGGCAGCCAATTGAGGAAAGCTCGAACTACCTGGGGGTCGCTGTCCGTGCGCAGCCCGGAGCCTCATCGCCCGAGCCTCTCCCTCCCTGACATCCCCGATGGCTGTCGGGCCACTCCCCGGGCCTCCAGCGGCCGCTCGGAGCCATCCGGGCATCTCCAGAACGCCCTGGGGCGAGGCGCCGCCGCTGGGAGGCCTCCCGAGGCGGGGGAACGCGCCGAGAACCAGAGAAAATGCTGGACAACCTCGGACCTCCAACGCCCCACGGAAAAACGTCCCTCCTGAGCCTTCCCGCCCTTCCCCTCGACGAGGCAGGTTTCTCGCGCTCCCGCCGCGGCTCCGGACCCGGGGAGCCGCTGCAGCTGCTCCACCTGCGGCTGAAGTTGCTGGCGTCGCTGGGCACCTGCGGCTGCAGCGGCAGAGGGACCACAGAGGCGGACGGGGAGGAAGGGATGAGGAGGAGCAGGAAAGAGGGGGAGGAGACGAGCGCAAGGGAGAGAGAGAGGGAGGAGGAGAACGGAGGGTAAGAAAGAGGGAGAAGGAGAGAGGAGGGTAAGCAAACGAAGAGGGCGGTACCTATCATCCGAGTGCGCGTGGCACCTAACCAACACTCTCGGTCATGGGAAGGGCGCCGGGGGTGCGCGGCAATTAAGCAACTCTCGTAGAATTCATCTTTTCTCCTCCTTCTCCTCCTCCTCCTCCTCCTCCTCCTCTCCTCCTCTTTTTAGTATCTCGCTGAAGCTTTCGTGCGTACGTTGCAATCAGGAAGAGGAAGGGAGGATGGGAAAGAGGGAGAAACCCAACGCGTCACCCGATGCCCCATGGCGATACCTGAACCGAACAACGTTCGCAGCGTAGCAGACCTTTTTCCTGGGACCGAATCTTCACCCCGAGCCGTTTGTGCCAGTCCCAAGGCCCAGCACGGTCCCCCAGCGTCCGAAAACAACGAAAGCCCATCCGCCTTGATTTGTTTCACGACGCGAGGAGGTATGGCCACCCAGGTGTTGCCAGTGCTGCACTTCCTCTTCGCAACCTTCTTCCGCCCTCCACTCAGGCAGACCTAAGATAGAGATACATCGCTCCAGAGCGTTCTGGGCTCCAGGACGCTATGATGCGGCTGCAGCGCCCGGTACATCCTCAAGACCCGCCAGCTCTCAGAGATTCCCAGCTTGTCTCGATCAGACTTTTGAAGGGGCCCCAGGACACACAAATAAATACACACAAATAAACACATTCCCCATATTTCCCCATATTTTGTGGGGTTTTGTCTTCCCCCCACTTCCCATATCTTCGCATATTTGCCTGGGAGTCGACGATTAATTGTGTCTGTGTGTTTCTTTCCCTCCTGAAATTTGTCGTCATCCCACGATGAGTCAACATCGAGCCTGGAAATCGCACCGATCAGGCATGCGCGTCGGATCGGGCGGCTGCATCGGCGCGGAATTGACATCGGACAGGATCGGCTGCGCCAAGATGCACAGCAGCTCTCCACGTAAGCGTCCGGCCGCATCGGGCTGCGGGGCACCGGGATCGAATCGGATCGGGCCTGACGGAATCTATATGCGGGCTGGCCTAAGTTCTCGACGTCGGCGGTGTTCGCAGAGGCGAGAGCGGGGAACGCGAGGGACTGGGGCCCCTCTGGGGCCCCAGATCAAGCTCAGACCTGCGCGTTCCCCCCAGACGCCGACCGTAGCAGCCCCAGTCTGAGGAGAAAGGCAGAACTGTCGGCCCGCGCCGGCGTCGATCGGGTCGACATGGCTCCTGCCATCCTGCTCTCGTCCTGGCTAGGGGCCACCTAGGTAGGGTCCGAATAGATGGGGTCGGAGGGTCGCGCCGCATCGCCGATAAATTGCCCATGCATCGGCGACGTCGGCGTTACATCGGCGCCATCGGCGTGGAGAACATCGGGCTCTACATCGAGCCACATCGCCGATGCATCGGCGATGCGGCGCGACCCTCCGACCCCATCTATTCGAGTCCCATCTGGGAGGCCTAGCTTAGAACAGCGAGCAACATCGATTGGCTCGAAGTGGCCCCTCCGCCCTGTCCGACCCTCCCCTGGGCCCAGCACGGCCCCGAGGGCGATTCTCGCCGCGGGGCGGCCGGGGCGGCCGGGGCGGGGGGCGCCCTGGTCCTGCTGCACAGGTCGTCGAGGCCTCGCCGCCGCCGCCGCCCGCCGCTCCCGCGGAAGCGTCGTCGTCGTCCTCGTCCTCATCGTCTTCGCTGTCGTCGTCGTTTTCGTCGTCGTCGTCGTCGCCCGTCACCGTCGGCGTCGTCGTAGTCGACGTCGCCGCGTGGTCGTTGTCGTCACCGTCGTCGTCGCCATCGTCGCCGCAGTCGTCGTCGCCGTCGACGCCGTCGTCGCTGCCGTCAGGGTCTCTTCGACATTCGAGGTTGGGACGGCTTTGGGTGCCTGTTCCTGCTTGCTGGGGTGCGCCCGTCGCCACGGCTGGATGAACACGGTGTTTGGCGTTTTCTGTGCGTTTTCGCAATGGCGATTTAAGACGAAAAAGGTCCGACCGATTGCCCAAAACAATGTCTGGGCGCAAATCCGAAGTCATGATTGGCCAATGCAAGGCCCTCGAATGAACACACCACGAAAACGAGGAGAACACGAAAACGATCCACGAGATTGTCAAACAACGTTTTGGCAGACCCCTGCCGCGAAATGCTGATCGCCATCGTCGGACGTTCTCGAATGCACCTTGCAAGTGTTTGGTTCTGGGGGGCCCCCCCAGAGGGCCCTGCCCGCCTCCTGACCTGGGTCAGAAGCAAGATCGGTCAGAATCGAATCGGGAAATCGGGTCGGATGGGAACGAACATCGGATTGGGCTGCATCGGCTCAGAATCGAAATCGGATTGAACCTGCGTCGCCCGGACACGCAACTAGGCCGTGCCAACATCGGACCGCATCGTATCGCTGGGAATTCGAAATCAAATCGGATCGAGCCGGATCAATTCGCCATCGAATCGGATCGATCGAATCGGAATGGGCCCTGGAAGGCGCTCCTGTAGAGGTCCAGGGGTCGTCGTCGTCGTCGTCGTCGTCGTCGTCGTCGTCATCGTTCGGGAGGCGAGGATCGCGGCTTTTAGGTGATTTGGGGCTTTCCTGCGTCTGTAGTGGCTGTCGTGGATCGTCGTCGTCGTCGTCGTCGTCGTCCACGGCGGCCCGGAAACGCGAGGCTGAACGGTCACGATGACACGATTTCTTCCAATGAATTCCATGCGAAAACGGCTTCGCCTCTTCCACGACGGCCACCATCAGCGCACACACGGCAGCTGCCTAAACAACCATCGCACGATGGAGGACAGAAGGAGGAGGGACAGAGTGAGGTGGACCCAATGCGCCTAAGCATTACGGTCCCTGCTCCTCGAACACCCGCCTCATCCGCATCGACCGGCAGACAGGGATAGGCTCCGCCACATTGCTCGTTACATGCAAGCTTCAAGGGCGCACGGCGGAGGGGGATGCCGGGGAAACGGCACCGCCAGTGTGCATCTTTTAGGATTCAGAACAAGCTTGAAAAGGCACGCGGCGGAGGGGGGCCTGTCTGGGAATGACCGGCGGGGTGGTCGCATGCGAGACATCCCCAGCGGAGGAGGCAAGGAACGGGATGGAGGTGTACGCGGACAGCGAGCAGGCAGAGAGGAACAACAAACCAGAAGGCTGACGTCGGGAGCCGTGAGTGAGCAAGAACCCACGCAGATCATAACAAATAGCTTGCAAGCTGGCGCGCGCGCGCAGAGAAGCACGAACGGACTGGGCAAAGCCCGCGTGCACGTGGGAGGGGAGGAGAGAAAGAGAAGGATTAGGAAGAGATGAGGAGGAGGAGCAGGAGGCCGGTGGCTGCTGACAGGCGGCAAGCACAATGCTTGCACTTGCCCGCTGTCCACCTTGAGACGGCACCCTCAAGATCCAAACAAATTAAGAAATTCGGTGGAGCGAACATGACCGCCCCAGGACGGCAACATGAGAAAGGGGAGGAGGAATGTATTCGGATGGAGGAGGGGGGAGGAGGAAAGAGGCGGAGGGGGCATTTGAATTTGAGCCAGCTGCTTGAACGAGGAGCCTGTTTGTGGTCTGGGCACCCTTCAGCCTCCAGTACCGCTGCTGTCCTTCATCTGACGGCAGCCAGCGAAATTCGGCGTCGCGCCCAGGGGAAACGTGAGAGAACGCAGGCCTTCTCAAAAGGCGGCGTGGCCTCGGAGAAGGCTCCGACAGCTTCTCAGAAGGCCAGAGGCCTGCTGAGCCTTCTGTAGAAGAAGAACAACTGAATAAATCTTTAAAGACATGAAACATGGACTTTCGGAGACCCACGCGGATCTCTCAAATCGGCGCTGACCCCCCCCCTCCCTGGCGCGCTAAGCGCGCCAGGGGCGGCGATGATCCTCAAGACGTGTGCTAACGCCAATGTGTGCTTGTCCACCGGAACGCTTCAGCGCGCCCAGATGGTGCAAACTAACAACGACGCATTTCAGAGAAGTGTCGCGGAACGCCTCCCAAGGCCGCGCTGACGGAGTGGTTGGTTAACGGTGCGGTTGGGGATCTGGTTTGTTAGTGACACCGAACTCACGCAGAGCAGAATGTAGGAAATCACGAAGCACCGCTTCCTACATTTCAGATATGCGAATGTATCAATCGAAAATGTCACAACGAGTTATAGGAAAACACGAACCACGCGTTCCTACAATTGGCTTGGCCACGGACCATGCTTCCCTACCACTGATTATCCGACATCGCCGTTAGCTATCACACCGCTGGCGCGTCTACGAGCCTCGCACTGACTTGGCACAGACGCACCGCGGAATGACAGCAGCTGCTCGTGATCAGAGGAGGCGGGCTGGGCAAACATACCTTGGGCTACAGTGCGGGCGCAGCCGCAAGAAACCCTCGCAAGAAACCCAACGCTGAAAACCCGCTCGCGGGGTGCACCCGAGGGGAAGCCCAGAGCACGCTGAACGCAGCAGCCTCTTTACCGGCTGCGGGAAGTCACCGCGCAGCGCGCGGAGCGAAGAAGCCCAGGATACCCTGACGAAAAGCACATGGTTTCTTGATGCGCGCTCCCACTGTACGCAGGCAGGGGACCTCTGCTTAGCACGCCGCTGCGGCGGCCCCGGCGACACGCCGTGCCCTGCGAGCGGATGGCGTGCCGCTCTGCCCCGCGGGCCGCGAGGCCGGGCACGGCTCTGGGCGCCGACGCCCGGGGACCGGGCCGTGGATGGCGCGCCGCGCCGCGAGCGCGGTGGACCAGAACTGGCGGCGCGGCACGCGAAGCAAACGTTTCGACCGAATCACCTCCTCCTCCTCCTCCTCCTCCTCCTCCTCCTCCTCCTCCTCCTCCTCCTCCTCCTCCTCCTCCTCCTCCTCCTCCTCCCCCCCTCCTCTCCTCCTCCTCCTCCTCCTCCTCCTCCTCCTCCTCCTCCTCCTCCTCCTCCTCCTCCTCCTCCTCCTCATCCTCCTCCCGAACGCCACACACGTTCTGAGGATCATCGGCCTCGGCGCGCCGCCGAACCAAGTGCAGCCACTAATCGCACCTCTCTGCTCGCCGCGCTCCCGCGGGCTCCGCCCGGCCCCGCCAGCCGCGCTCGGCCGCTCGCCCCTCGAGGCGCCTCTGGATTACCGCGTATGCCCACGCGGTGTTCACGACGCCCTGCGCCTCCGAGGGGGCCCAGGGCAGCACGACCAAATCTGCACAGTCTTACGGATGCGGTGGTACAGTTTGACAGATCTGTATAACTTTACGCGCATCCTGCATCTCACGCTTCCCCTCCCCTCCCACATACTTCGACATTTCACAAAGCTCAGAGTTTATATACACATGTGTGTGTTGTGTGTATGTCTTCTCCTCCTGCGCCTTGAACTCCCTGACGAGCGACGTGGAGGGCAGCGCAAGCGCGCGCAGGAGCGGCCTGTCCTCCACCGCCAGCGCTGCGCAAGACCTGGGACGACCAACACCCGTGCTGTGAAACCTAAAAGTGCTTGCGTCGTGACAACAATAACGATCGAAGATGTTTGTCTTTCTCCGTTTCCGCCCCTCTCCCTCCCATTCTCCTCCTTCCTGCTCCTCCTCCTCCTCTTACTCCTCCGTTCCTTTCCCTTATGAGTAAGTCCTCCCTGTCGCGCCCCCCCGATGCCGGCCGAAAGGGCTGGCCAGGCGCTTCGCTTAAGAATCCCTCGAAATTTATTTCCCTGAAGATCCCACATTGGCAACAATTTCACGGATTCAGGGCGGGCGGTTTTCAAAATGTGGCTCTCGCCTTAGCGCCGCGCACATTCGATTTAAACATGTGCAAGAATGTCGCGGATTGAGGGCGGGCGGTTTTCAAAATGTGGCTCTCGCTTTAGCGCCGCGCGCATTCGTCTTAAACTTCTGCGAGAGCGAAACGCATTGAGTGCGGGCGGCTTTCAAAATGTGGTTATCGCATTAGCACCGCGCACATTCATCTGAATTACTTGCAAGAGTTTTACGGATTCAACACGGCTTCTTTTCAACATGTGGCTCTCGCCTCAACGCTGCGCGCACTCGTCTTAAACAATTGCAGGAGTGTCACGGGTTCCCATGGCCAACGTACCACACATTATGTGTTGGAGCGATTCAGGACTGTCAGGGCGCGGCAGTTATGTACGTTGATTTGAGGTGTTGAAGTCCCAGGAACGGCGCTCTGGCGCAATTCAGGATCGTCTAGACGCAACAATCAAGTTTATTCGTGGCGTTCGAGTCCCGAGAATGGTGTTCTGGCACGCTTTACGATCTTCAAGCGGTTGTCTGAATGGACATGAGTCCTATGAAGAGGGAGCTTGGAGGGATGGTTTATTTCAACATCGTTGATGCGTCTTGGGTGTTCACTGGTCCTCCTTCCTCCTCCTCAAGGTCGACGGTACCCGCCGCAAAGCCTTCACAATCACGGCGGACAAACTTTGTCAATCTTCGACCGCCAGGGACCCTCGTCGAGCCACGGGCCCGTCCACCATCGGCTCGGGACGGGAACTCGTTCCTAGGGAACGGGTCGGGACTTTTGGGGACGCCGCGTTGACATCGGACATCTGGAAAAATACCGATGCCGCTACTCCCCGGGACCTCTCCCGGGGTGCGTTCTGACCAGGCTTCCGAAGCGGATCTCGCGACGGGCAGGGGGCCTCGGGCCGTGGCGACGGGGGGCGAAGGGGGCCTCCCCGCCAGCAGAGGCGAACACGAAGGCAGGGCGGCGGCATCGACCCCTCCGCCGCAGACCAGGCCGTGTTGGACAAGCTCTGCTCGTCGAACTCGCCGATGCTGCGGATCGCCGCCCCGGACAGGGCACCGAAGAGCGGGGCGTCCGCGACGCGCCGCGTCGCGAAGGCCCACGCGGTGCTCGCCAAGGCCCGAGGCGGCCACCGGCCCGCGGCGGCAGCGCCGCCGAGCGCAGCGATCGACGGCGCAGCGATGGCGGCAAACAGCGGAGCGCTGCGGAACGCCAGGGTCGCGAACGCCCACGAGGTGTTGGTGAGGTTGGAGGAGCAGACCACTGCGTGAGCATCTGGCAATCGCTCGGGCGTCCTTCCACGTGTGTTGCCTGGCTTCGAGTGCGCATGTGTGTGTGTGTGTGTGATTCTTTGCTCCAGATGATCCAAGATGCTCCGAGATGGTCAACATTTTCTGGCGCTGGCCTCGCCGAGACAAATGTCTACGTCCGAGCGATGCCAAGGAACCTGTGTAAAGACGAGCTGTCGCAGGTCCGTGCGGACTTCACAGATCGGCGCTGGGCCCCCTCCCTGGCGCGCGGTGCGCGCCAGGGGCGGTGGCAAAGGCGCCGCCAGGGGGTCCCTGCGCCGATCCATGAAATCCGCGCGGACGTCGTAAAGTGTGTGCTCATGTAGTCTTCTGCTCCTGGGGAGGTCCTGCCCGCTCAAGGAGCCGATGCGCTGCATCGCCGCCTCCGACACGGCCTGCAGCAGCTGCGCATCGCGCCACGGCAGCACAGCGACGGCCCACACGGTGGTGGACAGGTCCTGTGGTCCGAACAGCGCGACCTTCGGAACGGCCTCGGAGGACATCGCGATCAGGAAGGGGCTGTGGGCGACCTCGCGCCGAGCCAGCGCCCACGCAGTGTTGGCCGAGGAACACAGAGCCACACCGCAGGAGCACAAATTTTCGGAGCCCTGCGCCGATCTCTCGGATGGGCGCCGGGGCCCCCCGGGCGCCCCCCCTGGAGCCTGTTTTTTTTAGACTCTGGCAAGTTTACTTGCATGGACGGGGGGGGGGGGGCTGAGCCTGAAGCAAGCCCGGGGGAGGGGGTGCGCGGAAATCACGCAAGTCGAAAGAGGCACTTGCACGCTAGTATATTCGCTTGAAGAGGGGCGAGGGGGGGGGGGGCGAACGCCATGCAAGTAAACTTGCCTGAATCCAAAAAAAACAGGCTCCCGCCCCCTTGGGCGCGCTTCGCGCGCCGAGGATGGGGGCCCCTGCGCCGATCCGAGAGCTCCGCGCGGACCTCCGGAGGTTCGTGTCCAAGCGCGGCGTGGCCTCCCTCGAGGTGGAGATGTCCTGCGGCTCAGGTGGCTCCCATCGTACTCCCCAGACCCCCTCGAGCTATGAAAAAATCACGACGGGAGGTTTTTGGTTATTTTTGGCCTCTGGGGGCCCTTACCGGCCCTCGGGACCGTCAAAAAATGACTCAGGACGAAAAAACGGTCCGGGGAATGGGTCCAGACCGCTGGGGGTCGACGTCATGAAAAATTCATGACGTCGGGGGTCTGGGTCATCAGGACCACGGCCCAGAAATGATTTCGGGCACCCGGAGAAAGGTGTCGAGCGAGTGTCGAACCGGTGTCGAAAGAGTGTCTCCCAGGGCCCGGCACGCGAAAGCCCTCGAGTTTTTGGGGGTACTCGTCTGGCGCTCGAAATTCTTTCTGGTGGTCAAGGCCAGAGTACACGTCGGTCGGAAGAAGTAGGTAAAAACATGAAGTAGGAAGGCGGATGAAGTTGATTGGGTCCAGGTCCTCCCAGAGAATAACAAAACACAGCAAGAGCGTGCCGATTCTTGAAGTAGGAAGGCGCTTGAAGTAGATTGGGATCTGGGAATCCAAAAATACCTACTTTCAACGACCGGCGTGCAGGTTCGAACGCCATGATCCTGCGGCTTAAACTCGTGCATGTGGGCCGCCGCGGGGGACGCCAGGGCATCGAGCGAGGGCGCGCCGCCGACCTCCAGCACCGCGAAGGCCCACGCAGTGTTGGTCAGGTGCTGCGGCTCGAACTCCGCCTGTGGGGGGGCAGAAACCCAGACATGCTCGCGTCGTAAACCTGCCCCCCCCCCTCCTCCTCCTCCTCCTCTCCTCCTCCTCTCCTCCTCCTCCTCCTCCTCCTCCTCCTCCTCCTCCTCCTCCTCCTCCTCCTCCTCCTCCTCCTCCTCCTCCTCTCCTGCCCTCTTCTCCCGGCCCCACAGGTGGCCGAACAGGGGCCCATGCAACCCGTGAGCCTGAACGAGTAGGCGCCTCTCTGACAGGTGATGCCGAGCCGCTGAGGCTACAGGTGGCACATCCTCACATGCGTGTGTCGCCCGATCGTACTGGCTGACTTGTCCCTGGTGCATCTCTGGTTCACTCTGTAAGAACGGTTTTTGAAGGCAGATCTGCCTTCTCTGTAAGAACGGTTTTTTGAAGGCTTCTCTGTAAGAACGGTTTTTTGAAGGCAGATCTGCCTTCAAAAAACCGTTCTTTTGAAGGCAGATTTGCCTTCAAAAAACCGTTCTTACAGAGTAGACCAGTCTTTCCTCTTTGAAGGCAGATCTGCCTTCAAAAAACCGTTCTTACAGAGTAGACGCTCCCCTGAAGCAGTGCAAACAAAAACCAGACACGCTCGCGTCGTGAAGCGAAACAACGGCGGGAAATCTCTGGGGGCCCTCGCCAGCCTGTGGAGGGCCTTCGCCGGCCTCGGGAGGCTGGCATGCCTCGGGGATGAAAAAAAAGCTGCCCTGGGGGAGGGGCTGGTCTACTCTGTAAGAACGGTTTTTTGAAGGCAGATCTGCCTTCAAAAAATGGTTTTTTGAAGGCAGATCTGCCTTCAAAAAACCGTTCTTACAGAGTAGACCAGTCTTTCCTCCTTGAAGGCAGATCTGCCTTCAAAAAACCGTTCTTACAGAGTAGACCGGACTTTCGGGGATGCCGAAGGGAACAAACCAAGACGTGAGATGTCTGGGAAGGTACCGCTACCCCTGCGCCCTGGACCGCTCCGGAGCTGCGCTCTAACCAGGAGCTCGACGCGAATCCAGGTCGTGGTGATGAGGGGAGGCAACACGTAGCCAGGATCGGGACAGAATCGGAGAAAGCTAAATCGGGGATCTCCGCTATCTGGCGGTCCTGAAGACCGAATCGGGCGCCGCGGCCTTCTCAGAGCGTTCCGGAACGTTCTGAGAGTGTTCCGGGGCGCTCTGGAGCAAATCATCCAGAGCCTGTGCCCGATTGAGAAGGGTAGTTCGCCGCATCGGTATCTCTTCCTAGGTGGCAACATCCGAACCCGACCCCGACCAACCATCGATTCTCCTGAATCGACGTTCGGCGGGGGCAGGTTCGGGTTTCGCCACGGCTTCGACGAATTCCGAGCCCTCGCTGCGCTGCCCATCGAGCTGCCGGAACCGTCGAATCTGCGAGGTCCGGGCGACGAGGCCAAGTCCGCTTTTGTAGCCAGTCCCCGGGCCCCTCCCCGGGTCCATCCGGTGCAGCCCTTCCCCCCGGATCCGTTTCTGACGGTCCTGGGGCCCGCAAGTGACCCCCGGAGGCCGAACCTGGCCGAAACCGTTCCGCGGGTGTCTTTCTCTCGCGCCCTCCTCCTCGGATGCGGCAGGTTCGGACTCGCCACCGAGGACGAGGAGGAGGAGGAGGAGGAGGAGGAGGAGGAGGAGGAGGAGGAGGAGAAGGAGGAGGGGGAGGGGGAGGGGGAGGAGGAGGAGGAGGCCCCTCTGAGCCTGGAGGTCCAGGGTCGCCGCCGGCAGCGCCGCCAGGAGGGGCGCGTCCTGCAGCGCGAGCCGCGCGCACGCCCAGGCGGTGTTGGCGAGGGCCTGCGCGACACCCCGGCGCCGGAGGGCACCGGAGGCGACCTCCTTCGGGGGCGTCCAAGCGGGGGGCGTCCGATGGAGGGGTGGGGCTTGCAATTCGCGGCCCGAGGCGCGTGCGCGAACGAGGGGGGGACCGGGTGACGTATGGAAAGCTGACGGGGGGGGGGTTCTGAGATCCAAGAGGCCTCAAAGACCCGGCCATCCGCCTCCTCCTCCTCCTCCTCCGCCGCCGCCGCCGCAGCCGCCGCCGCCTGCTCCTCCTCCTCCTCCTCCTCCTCGTCGTCCTCCTCCTCCGAGAACTATCCGCCACGCCTGGCCAGCCCCGAGTCCTAGATCATGGCCCGCTGCAGCCCCACCAGGCGCCGGAACTCGGCCCTGCTCTCGAGCGCGGGCTCGCTGCAGGGGCTCGCCACGGCGAGCCTCGCGGGCGGGGGACCTCTCCGTGTCCGCGGCCTCGCGGCCCCAATGGGATACGGGGCTCTCCTGCTTCGGGCGTGCCCCCGCGGGCGGGAAGCACCCGTGCGACCGCGTGTCCACGGGGTCGCGCCCAAGAGCCCAGGCCCGAGCATGAAGGGAGCGGGTCCCGAGCATAACGGGCCCTGGACCCAGGGGCCTCCCCCCAGGAAGAGCGCTTCATCCTCGAGCCGTTTTCGGACAGTCCCCTGGGGCCCGTGGGGAGCCCTGAGGTCCCGAGAGCGGCGAGAAACATCAGGCGGAGACCGCGAAGGCGTGGACATGCGCACGTTGCGGAGCGCGCTAACCCGGTTCGGGGCCAATCCGTCAGCCAGGGCCCCGTCGCGAACCTAGACCAGCCGCGAAATATAGCTCCCAAATCAGCGAATAGATGGATTATGTTCGTGTTCGGGATTCGTTTTTTCCCAACCATCCTGCGGTGTTGGGTCCTCGTTTTGAAGAGACGGTGCCCCGCGTTCCCCTCCTTCCTCTCCTCCTCCCTCCTCCCCCTCCTTGCCTCTGCTCTCGGCACACCTCTCACACGTTTCGTAGCCCCATAGGGAACTCCACCGAAGGCCCCAGTGGGGGTGTCCACATGCGGTTCCCCCACCCAGGGCAGCGTTTCGTAGCCCCAGAGGGAGCTCCACCGAAGGCCCCAGTGGGGGTGTCCACATGCGGTTCCCCCACCCAGGGCAGCGTTTCGGCCCCAGAGGGAGCTCCACCGAAGGCCCCAGTGGGGGTGTCCACATGCGGTTCCCCCACCCAGGGCAGCGTTTCGTGGCCCCATAGGGAGCTCCACCGAAGGCCCCAGTGGGGGTGTCCACATGCGGTTCCCCCACCCAGGGCAGCGTTTCGTGGCCCCATAGGGAGCTCCACCGAAGGCCCCAGTGGGGGTGTCCACATGCGGTTCCCCCACCCAGGGCAGCGTTTCGTGGCCCCATAGGGAGCTCCACCGAAGGCCCCAGTGGGGGTGTCCACATGCGGTTCCCCCACCCAGGGCAGCGTTTCGTAGCCCCATA